GCAGATTTCCTCCAAGCAAATGATGGAAGTAATCCCTCCAGTCTAAACAAAACCCATCAAGGAATCTCTAGCATGTTATTACATTTAAAATAAAATACCTGGAGAACATTAAATTCCTAGGTTAAAAACCATCTTTGTTTAAAGAATATTAAAAACAACAACAAAAGCACACCATATGCTTTCAAAATGACAGTGGAAACATTTGTTTATCTCAGCCAGAGCCATTCCATCAAACTGCTCAGATCCACAGAGCAGCATCCACCCTGGAGCAGAAGGGCTGCCTGGGCCGACGGCACATCTGGCGGCTCCAGATCCTCTGTGCAGCCTTCTCGGCCGGAAACGCTGCACCAGACAGCTGCAGGGCTCTCGTCCAGCTCCTCCCAGCTCCTGCTGCCTGCTCACCTCAGCCAGGGTGAGTGTGGCCAGGGTTCTGGCCTGCGGATGGCAGGCACACCTCAGCCGGGTCAGGCTGTGCCACTCTACCTCCCCCAGCCCCCTTCAACAGCCACCTGCAGCGTTGTCATCTCTGGGCAAAGGCTCCAAGTCAGTGACCTCCTCGCTTCTAACCAGATTTGATGCGAGTTCAACAGTGAGTCATGAGCTCTTCTCTCACATCTCCATTTCCTCTAGGAAAAGTGATCTGTCATTCTTTCTTATTGTTATATGGCAGTTGCAGTAACTGCGGTATGTCAGCATCTTTCCACCACAGACATCAGAATTTAAAGACTGCAGTCCTCACGTGGGCCACAGGAGGCGCTATGGAGGCACGGCGGCTCCAGGTCCCTCAGGCTGGTCCACAGGGAGCACAGGGTCTCCTCCTGAAGCCCAGGCTCTGAGCTACTGGGCTCTAGAGGCAGCGGGGCTGGGGAGGACAATCTGACTGCCTATTATAAACACTTCTCTTTGAAGTTTTTCTCTAGTCTGACAAGAGGAAATCCTAAAGGAGGAGAATGGGGCCTAAGTACAACTACAATAAAAGGGGGTAATTAATGTTTAGTCTGTTGAGTATTAACAGTCATTCTGGAGGGAGATAAATTCTGTCTTTGACCTGCTTCTCTCTCCCTCTGTCTCTGCTTCTGTCTCTCTCGGTCTCTCACAGCCACATATAAACCTGCACAGGACCTTAAAGACTAAAACAAAAACACTACATACAGCAAAAATACTACATTGTTCTGCTAATGTTTTCCTTCATTGGGCAGTTGGCCAATAAACTAGCAATTTGTATATACAGTAACATAACATATTCATGAGTAGAATGCTAAGTCAGATTCCCCAAATCCTTAGTGTCATCGATATTTCTTCTTCTTTCCACAGCTTACAGGGGGAAGAGAAAAGGAAATCACTTAGCATTAAATGTTTGGCATGCCTGTGACACAAGTCCGAAGGAAATCTCGCTGTGAGTTTTCAGGCTGTACACTTTGTCTAATTCACTGTGACAGAAGAAACCAACATGATTATTTACCTTCCTCAGTTGCCTAGGCTGGAGATTCCACTCTTCCATAGCACAACCTGCTTATTGTACATGAGAAGAAAATCCGGGCTAAGCCCTCGCCTCTCTGTTCTGCACTCTGACATCACGCTGCTGCTGCCTGACACTACTCAGGAAGGACAGATCACACCTAGTGAGTGGGAGGTCCTCATGTCTCTAACTGAGGCACTCTGAGGTCACAAGAATAAAGTGTATGCCATACAAAACGGTCTGGCCCATGTTCCATTTAATCAAAATAACTAGCTTATTATCGTCCTAGTCTATGCTTTCATTTAATACCCTTTGATCATAAGGATACTTTACTTTTGCGATCACTTTCAAAATGGTATGACTAACTGAACTGCTATTTTAGCCCAAGATAAATACCAGAGTACCAGGACTTCTCATCTGGGCATTATTAACATTTGGGCTGGATTTTCTGACATACAGGGAATGGAGCTGTAGTACATATTATAAGGTGGCTACCAACACCTCTGGCGTCTGCCAGTCAAGTCCAGGGGCACCGTTCCAACCCTAATCATAACCACGATTATCTCTAGACGTCGCCAAGGGCCAAGGTGAAGGTGGCTGGGAGAGGAGGGGTAGGAAGGTCACCACAGCGAGAGCCAGCACAGGTGCCTGATGTGTTAACAATGAAAAGGGGAAGAGAGAACGTGAAGTTTTGTGTCTCCCTTTGTTGGCTGTCCAAGCCTCCACAGATTTTAGTGTTAATTGTCAAACTAGTCAAAGTCCACAAATTCCCTCTGGGCAAACTATCGGTAAATCTTAACATAAATCCACTTTGAGCCTTAAACTAACAGCATGTGAAAAGATCAATATGAATGAGTTCAAAACTAATCAGACCTCCTCTTTAAATGTTGACACAGTATTATTTATATCCCATAAATACATTCTTGACTAAAATTCATACTAAGAGCTTGGCACCTGGCCAGTTCTATTCATATTTACTGTATTTATACAGTCCACTTGGCCAAGGATAATATTTAAGACAAAATATGCCTAAGGGCATATATAATATCTCTTATATTTTTACTTTAAATCTCCTCATTGCTAAAAATATTCAGTCTGAACTTTATAAAGTGTCCCACCAAGGGCTATCTGCAAGCTGGGATGATATATAGCTCACTGAGTATAATTAGAGCATATTTGTAATACTTGAGCTGAAGTCATTCTCTGAACACGAATAAGTTGGTGGTTAAAAAAAAGGAACCAGCGATCTTTCCCATGCCTTTGTCCCTCGGGCTTAAGGCCCTCGCTGGACTCGCTACAAGAACTGACAGGCACTGGTCCCGCCTGCAGCCACCTACCTCACTGCCCACCCAGTGCCAAGTGAGGCAGGAAAGTCCTAAGGAGGAGAAGCTAGAGTGTAAGCCACTTGGAATTTGCTTCTTAAAAATATGCTAGTGGGTTTTTTTTTTTTCCTTTTCTTTGGGCGAGTTCTCCATGTACAAGCATAACCACAAAGTGCTAGAGACTCGCTCAGCCTACTTTTCAGGCAATAATGCACATTTCTTATACATAGAACACAGACGCTTTAAAGCTTGGAGCTGTTGTATGCAGAACAAAAGTATACTTTTTTTTTCCTGGACTAGGTAGGGTGTTGGGGATAGAGTAGAAAGGAGAAACCACCCACTGAACTCAGGTGCCACGCTCTGAAATCCTCACAGTGATTTGGGAAGACCTACACTTTGTTAATAAGCATACTCCTGGGCTGGACCATCTCAACCGGCCCATCTTCAGTGCTCAGATTAAAGTGCAAGCAGCACAAAAAGAAATCCAAGCCCGAGGGCAACCTGCACTCTCCACACCTGTGCCCAGATGAGAGCAGGCCTCCTCCGGGCTGTATAAGCCCCAGCAGTCTCTGGGCTTCAGCATGTAAACACCGAAGGCTGAGTTAATCAGGTTCTGCCTAACAGACTTGCTGGCCTGCGGTACCAGAACAATGCACGTGCAAGAGCGAGCACCGGAGTCAGTGCCTGTGCAAGCGCCATGGTTCTAGGCTAGTGACAATACACTTTCTCTCTAACAACGCCTGGGCTCCATCCCAGATAGAAATCTTTACTTCACGGGGTGGAGGGTGGGGTTTAAACAGGGAGGAGTGTGTTTATCCCTACTGTCCTGAATAGCTCTGTAATTATAACAATAAAATCATCCTGCCTGCCAGGACTCCCTGCATCTGCTCTGCCGCTGAGCAAATTATGGAGACTCTGCAGCACAAGAGAGGTGGCCAGCACGACCAGGGCTAGACATATGAACAAGACGTGGCAAGTCACAGAGCTACGACTTGTCACACTAAAAATAAATATTAAAAAAAGAAGAGCACCACACTGCCATGAGGACTGCTAGGATAAAGTTACCAAGATGGCTGTGCTATCTCTTTAGGAGAGACCCAGGGACTCCTCAGAGCCAGCCCGGTATATAGGACACGGGAAGGGGCGGAGAGAAGCAGGCGGCCAATGGAAAGTTTAGGCTTGGGATCTGGACCGAGCCACCGCTGAAGCATTTTCACTTCTTTTGGCTGCCACCGCCTGGTATTTAACTCCCTCAGGTGTCACTGGAGGCTGCCGCTGCTGCCGCCTCTAAAACAGTCTGAAATAATCCGCACTATCTGCCCGCTCCCCAAAGAGCCCCAGAATGAAACATTCCCCACCCACGGCTATCGTCTGCCTGCTGGTTTTAAGGACACTGCTCTCAAAAGCCAAGAACAACAACAACAATAATAATTGCAATTCAACTGAGTTTGTTGTCTTAATGTGGGGAGGCACTGAAGAAACTGCAGAAAGCCTACGAAAGGGTGGAAGCACAGAGCTCAAGGCTGGAAGAGATCAACCACAAAACCCTAAGAAAAACGTTCTGCTGCGCCGGGATTTTAAGGAGGCAGGTTTGGGTGGATTTCTGAAAAACAGTGAAGCAGGACTTGCTTCAGCACTGTCAGACACGAAGTTGTCCTTTCTCCCCACTCCAGGGACGCCAAACAGGGCCTTGGTTACAAGATTTTTGCTGGGGAGTTGGGGGGGGGGTGGCTGCAAACAGCTGGCGCTGGCGACAGAGACTTGGAGGAGTAAAGGATTTTTCCAGGGGTCCCCGCTCTGTGTTTGGTCTGGGCGTTGCTGACATTTTCAGGGGAGCGCAAGACAATAGGAAAGCTCGGGAACCAGTTGGTCGCTCGGCAAGCACAGGGGCGCCTTCCGAGGCTAGATTCAGGCCACTATTCTGTTTAACCCTTGGCGCACCAGCTTGGCGCACCCGAGCCTACCGGAGCGCAGAAAGCAGACCCGGCGAGATCCCCCAAACCCTCATTTCCCTACGTCCCAGGAGCGCCCCTCGGCAACAGGGGTGCAGATTCCAGCAGGTGGCCGCGTAGGGGACTCCAGGGATGCGCTGAGGGGAGCGACCGACACCTGGGGCAGGACTTGGCGTTAGGGAAGGGAGAACGGGGAGAAAGGAACGCAGAAAGAGGGGCTGGGAAGGGGCGCGGGGAGAACGGAGGTGGGCGGGAAGCCGTACTCACTTTCGGAGAAGAAGGGCATGTCGATCTTGTAGACCTCCTTGGCGTAGTACTCCTCGTCGCTGCGCTCGCGCTCGCAGGCGGCGGCCCGGCGGCTCGCCTTCTCCTGCAGCAGGTCCCGTGTGCTGTTGTAGATGGAGATCACCTCCGGGGGCACCTCCTCGGGCTCGGGGAAGTCCTCCGGGGGGCTGGTGAGCTTCAGCTTGCTGAGGATCTGACCGCGGATCGCCTCGATCCTCTTTCGCATGAACTGGTCCATGTCGAGCGAGCTGCAGGTAGACAGGGCGAGCGCCGCCGGCACCAGATGCAGGGTCAGCAGCGCGCTCAGCACGCGGGAGTGCATTTTTTTCTTAAAGGTGGAAAAATAAAGTTGTTTTTTTTTTTTTTAAAGTAAGAGAAAAATAAAAACAGAAGCCAGTAATTCTCAGAAGTACAGATCAGTTAGAGTTGTTAGTTTTTTGCTTTTTTTTTTAAATAGGAAACTTTGTCAAGCAATAGAAAGTCCTTGCTCAGTAGAAAAAAGTATCTCGCTTGACTTCCGTTAAAAAATGCAGGTCGTTCCAAAGTGGAAATATTAATATGCGACGGGCGGGGGATGATTTTAGGGAGCAAAAAAAGTTTTCTTGGAGCGACGAGATGGGGGAACCGGCGGACGAGTACTGCTCGGCAGGAGTGGATCTGGGCAGAGCGGCGAGCTCAGGTCGTCCTGGATCAGCGCGGATCTGAACTCCGCTCCGCTGCCGGCGGAGATGAAAAGGCGCGGGGCTGGCGCCGCTGGGGCGGGCGGGGCGCGACCGGGCTTAGCCCGGCTGGGGTTCGAGTGTTTGCAAAGGAGTGCGCCGGGGCGAGGCGAGCGCACACGTGTGCGTGTGTACGCGCGTGTGCGTGCGTGAGTGTGGTTGCGCGCAGCGGGAGACACAAGAGCTCGGTCCGCCCGGGGCGCTGCGCACCGCGGGGCCTATGCCGCGTGCGCCGATCCCGGTCCAGGTCTCGGTTCTGCCGCGCCGCCCTCCGGCCTCCTTCCTGCTCTCGGCCCGAGCCGGGGCCGATCCGCGTCGCCGTCGCTGCCCTGCGGCCTCCGCAGCCCAGACTCGCCGGCGGAGGCTCGAGCCCAGGGGGGCAGGGACGCCCCGCTCCCGGCCCGGCTGGCCTCGCCGCCTCGCCGAGGGTCGCTGGGTTCCGGCCACCCCGCAGGGTCCCGCGCCCTCCTGCGCCTCCCCGCGGCCGGGCGGGCGGCTCCTACACCGCTGTCCCCGCTCTCGCCATCCCGCCGCGCTCTCCGCCTCTAGTCGAGGGCTCCCTGGCTGCTCTGCTTGCTCGCGGCGAGCCGAGCCGTGGGCTGCCAGCAGATAACATCACGATCTTGCCGGGAGAGAGATTTATACGTTCTCTCCGGACCACGTGTCCCCCTTCAACAAAGTGACGTGCGAGGGCCGCGGTAAGAGGAGTCCGCGCTCTAGCTCAGACGCGAAGCGCCCGCCGCGGGGTGCGGGCGTGAGCTGGGGTTTGCTTGCGCCCCTGAGCACAGTCCCCTCACGCACCGGACTCCCGTGTCCTATGTGGACCTGGCCTGGGTGGAGCAGAGCCTCCGAAGGAGTCGCCTGCTCTAGAATGGACGCCTTCCCTGCTGTCACACACACACACACACACACACACACACACACACGCACAGACACCCGAGACGAGCCACACACGCAGGCACTCCACGGCAGAAGCACCAGCCCGCTCAAAGCCAGCCTAGCCTGGGGCCAGACCTGATTCCTGACCTACCTGCTTTAGTTTTCTGGGCTCCTGCTGCAGGTTGCTGCGCGGAATCTACGCGATCACGCAGCTATTTACAATCTGCTCTTGTGCGTGCACTGGGGGCAATAGAAACCTCTCTGCGTGTTTCACGCAGGGCTAAGGAATGAATGGGCCCGTCCTCTGCTCCTTGTGTGGGGCTTTCTCTTCGCCTTCGCCCTAGATGAGCCACTATCAACCAACTTCATTCTTTCCACAGGGGAGGTCCAGGAAACTAGAATTAAGTGTTCGATGTCTACTGTTATATACTACTCATAGCTTTTTCTACTGCAACCTACTCCAAATCTGATGGATACTACAATAATTTTTGCCATTCTTCAATTTTCCCATTTTTGTTTCTTTTACCTTTAGTTATTCAAAGTCAACATTTTAATTTGTGGCCATACTAGCTAGACAGATGACTTAAGCTGGAAACTGCTGAGTTTCCCCTAAATCCCAGGCCCTTGTATTATCCCTTGTCTGGATATACCCTAGCTCAAAGGTTTAGAATTCACACTCGAGGAATGCATGGGGCTTACAGTACTAGAATAGAGGGCTGAATGAGCAACAATGGCAATGCTCAGAGTCTGCACAATGCTGAGGTACTTTATTATTGTATTTTGCCAAGAGACTGAATTTATATTCAGTATTTATATTTAGTAGTGAGACCACAGTAAGTGGTGCAGTTGGAGTTCATAGTCAAGTTTATTTGCTCTTCCCAACTCTTAAGAAAAACACACCGGTCCCAGAGCATGCTGTGACCCACAGGACACGATCAAACAGGATTGGCAGATGCAGGGTACTTCACTATTGCCTCTTACAGAATCACGATTCTGTTTACTGGGTTAAGCGCTCAGAATTCTGCAGTTTTTAACTTTCAACTTCACATTTCCTGAACCTCTGTGAATATAGAATTTTTTCCCAATTAAGTCCCATTGGAAAATTTTGAAATAGGTACATTGTTCCATTCAGCTTCTGAATAACTTTGAAGATGTCGAAGTCAGCACCAGCAGGCAATCCTTTTCCCCAGGCCAAAGTCAGCTGGAGCCACTCACACGCAGCAGCAGCCACTATTCCTCCACGACAAAGAGAAGCTGCTGCCAGCTCCCAGTTCAAGGCATCCTTTTGAGTTTGGTGGCAAACTGCAGTCATCTATAGAGAGGACAAACAGGGCTACTTGCTGTTCTTGGGCAGTTGTAGAACACAGGGCAGAAGGGAGCTGCAGGTGGTGTCACTTGGGAACGCGGCAGGTTCCAGGGTTCACTGTCCGTCCACCTATGCAGATGCACCTGGGTCACATGGATTAAGGTCAGAGTGTGGATGCAGCAGCAAACCCACCTCAGTTACTTCCAGGAAAAGGAGCTAGTCATCCTGTGACACCCCCCCCCCCCGTCAACATTCACCTCCAGTCCTTCCTAAGGCTGTTTGGTGACCACTTACCGCTTATTAATAACACCCCCGGATCATTCAGACCTATCCACAGCTGCTACCTGAACTTCCCTAAGTCCAGGAGGCCAGGTGGGGAGAGGTTTGGGGTAACTCAGTGTCCTGGGTACTAGGGGTTGGGGAGGTTCTTTCCAGTTGTGCCAGCTGATTGAGGACTCGGTCCCCCTTCAAAGTAAGCAAACCCTTTCTTCTATTACGTAACACTTGCAGGGTCTTCTCACCTCTGCCGGAGAAAGTCATGAAATGTACCAAGCACTATGTGCTGGGGCCACCACAGGATCTTATGGTAAAAGGTGAACTACACATCCCACCTCAGCAGGCAGTGCAGTGTCTAAAGGCAGCTCCACAGGCGAGATTTCTTCTGCTCCAACTGCTGCCACTAGGCCCTGACCCAGGTTCTTGGGCACAATCCTAGGTCTCATCCGTGCAATGGAAATGCTGAGACAGTACCACTGTTGCTCATACGAACACTGGTGGGGCTCAAGGGCAGTGCAGACAATACTGGAGAACAACACGCGGCACATTAAGCTGTTACCTACCACTTCTTACTGGAGCCCTTCACTTCTGTCTGTGAACTTACAATAGGGGGCTGGGGAGATGGCTTAGTAGAACGAGCACTTGCCTGGCAAGCGCAAGGGTCTGAGTTCAATCCCGTTTTGCAAAAAATTACAGTAAAACACACCAGGCCCCCACTCTTTACCAAAAACAGGTACAATGAAAAAGGCAGGGAAGAAGCCACTAAGAATTTGCTTCATGACCTGCTTCCTAGCAGTTTCTATGTACATGCTTAGCATTTTAAAATTCTGCTCATCTGTCTCAGTAGGCAAGGACAAGAAAACATACTTTTGGTAAAGAGAAGGCCTAATGACCACCAGAGTTCAGGTAAGACATTGAGCAGTAAGGCCTATTATTTTAAACCCTAAAATGGAATTCTTTGTTTTCAGATCAGAGAAGGGAAAGGTAGAGCTGCTTCATCCACAGCCCTCTCCTACATACTCATGGGTCTACTTGCTTTGGTAACATGGAATTCCCACTTGAAGCTGTAAAAACAAAAACAAAAGTCAGGCCTGTCCAGGAGTTCTGCTCCTGTGGGTTACAGCAAGATCACGTGACCTCCTAGCGTGCTCCTCTCACCCAAGAACAGCTCACTGAAACCATTCTGAGAGCTTTCCTTAACGGGTTCCAGCATTAAAACCACGAGGTGGGAAAAGAAATGCACGAAGCCACTGTAATGGATCATACCTTTCATCAAATAGTCACATTTGATAAATGCAGAGTAATGCTTTAATAGGAAAAACACACCAAAAGGCTTCCACATTCTGACTTGTCATTTTATCTCTGATTCCACAATCCAAAACCAAAGTTTGGTCTATATTAATTTTTTCTTGTACCCTGAATAATTGCCATAAATAATTTACAGAACCTGGAATACCTAGAGCAGTGAGATATAAAGGCAAGCAGTTGCCTCATGCAGTGATCTGATGAGTATTTCCACTCTGTCTCTGTACCTTAACCTGAGTGAAAGCCCCAGAGACCAGGGGAACTCAGAGGTCAGGGGGTGGAAGAGACAGAAGGGCGGGGAACCAGGAGCCAGGGACCAGGAAAGGCAGAGCTATTAGGAGGTTAGCGGCCTTTAAAAGAATAAACCCATCCCAGGCCAACGATCCCCCGGGGATGGATGACTAGCTGAGCTGATGCAGCACTGCTGCTTGCTTTCTGGCCACTAGTCTCATGCTCAGCTCTGCAAGAGGTCTGTCAAGACGACTCTGTCTTTGGGAAACAGATTCTGTGGCCTGGGCTATGTCATCTCAGGATCGACTCAGATTAGTGGCAGCCTCTGCTTTCTCGCCCCTGCTGAAACTCATGCACTGAACAGCACTTGGCGACTGATGCACATAAATCACCCTGAGGGACCTGCTGACGTGGGCCGACTGTGGCTGTAGGTGGAACGGGAGGCCGACTCCCGACAGGGGCGGCCAGCAGGCCAGCAGCAGCCTCTCCTTGCAGTCAGGGCAGTGCTGGGCACCAGACCCAGCCTCTGCTGCCGCGTGCTCTGCCCAGCTCCTCCACGCCCACTGTGGACAAGGCCAGATGAGAAGGTAGAGGTGGGTGGCCAGCCAGGGAAAGGCAAGAGGGAGGAAACGTACATGTGAGGAATGAGCTACAATCATGTTCTTCACAATATGACAAACAAAAGCAGTTTGTAAAACACATGATCTTACATAAATGCATGCGTCATCTCCTCAGTGGGCTTCCGCATGCAGGCAACTCCAAGCATGTAGACTCCTACTAGCAAAGTCAGTGGCAGCCCACGTTTCAAGTGACTTTGCCTTTCTGCTGCTCCAATCAGTCTGAGATTTAAAAGTCCAAACAAAACTAAAGGGATGATACTTAGTACATAGAAAAGAAAATCATGATTTTTATGGTAGGATAAACTAGTATTGCTAAAAGCAAGCATGTTTTTTGTTTTTTGTTTTTTTTTTTTTGAGACAGAGTCTCCCTATGTAGTTCAGGCTGTCCTTGAACTCACTATGTGTATGCAGAGAAGAGTTAGAGCAAATTTTTACTTTATTTCCTTCAATAGAATACATAATAGGGAATTTTTATATGGTGGTCTTTTTTGTGTAAATGACATAAAAAGCAAGGGACAGCTGGAAGGGAACCAAATGGCATTACCGTTTCTTGGTGATTTTTCGCAATGCAGATTCCTTCCATTAGTGGTTCTACTTTAGATCAATTATCTCTATTTCTGCCTTTCTGAGTACACAGCATCTTTGTAGTTCGCAATGACAAGAGATTTACTGTGAACTAAAGAACAAATCTAAAAGTACGAATAAATATGTCACTGTGACTCAGATACCTCCCGCTACATAAAATGACTCTGATTGCTGAGCTTTAGAAGAACAAGTTTTGCTGCTTCTTTATGAGGTCTTCATCTCATTTTCAGTTATTAAGGTCATTACAAGGTCAGTCTGGTTATGGAACCTGCTGTAATGAACCTGACTGTCACAGCTACAGTGATTGTAAGACACCAGCCACTCATCTGTGACAAAACAGCCTAACTCATGCCACCTGCAGGAATCTTGAGATTTTAGGCAAGAA